TCCTCCCCTGCCACAGATTTTGTTAGTCTTTAAGGTGCTCCTGGTCTCTTGCTCTTTTCTGCTGCTACAGACAGACTAACACGGCTGCCCATCTTGATCTATCTTCCCAAGAGGTCAGTGCAGCTTTACAGAATCGTCCCATCTTACCATGCCGACAACCCTGTAAAGTAGGAATGGAGAAAAAGGACATGACTTCTTTTCCTCACAGGCCTGACACCCTGATTTCCCAAGCAAGACAGCAGAAGAGAACAGGCATTTTCACTTGAACTTCAGGGCCTGGTGGTGATGGGCGTAGGAGGTGGCGTTGGAAAGCAGCAGTAACCCCTCATGTACAGTACAGTAACCCCTCATGGGGTGTTCAAGGCAGGAGACATCTAGTGATTCACCACTGCCTGCCTCTGCGTAGGAACTCTGGACTTCCTTGGCGGTCTCCCATCCAAGTACTGACTAGAGCCGACCCTGCTTAGCTTCACGAGACCTGAGGAGATCGGGCCGAGCCTGGGCCACCCAGGTCAGACCTTGCAGTAGCTCATTGCTACACAGAAGAGGCGCCGGGAGTCAAACCGGCTGACTTGGAAGCCCTCCCCCTTAACTGTGAACTGGCGACGGTGACGGTAGCGACGCCAGCACTCTTCACGTGCTCACGCCTCGAGATTCCATCCGGTGAAATCCTTGTGAGGCTTACTCAAAGATATTTTATAAAGAGGATATTATACAAAAAATTGACTTCGTTTCTCTAGAAACAATCGACACTCTGTGGATGGCCTGGACTATAATAGAAGAAGATGGAACAGCAGAAGAGGAACGCGAGGTGAGCAATCATGGAAGCGATATTTCTACACCACTTGAAGAAGAAACTGTTTTAGGACTCCTAAACTCCCAGAATCAATACAGAAGCTGACTTTAGAAGCAAAAATGATAACATTTTAAAGACATATATCTGTGACTTAAACCTAATTAAAAGTGTTAGATTACTTGGCCACTCTGACTCTAGTTCGGGCTGCCAAGTGGGGGCAGGTAAACCCCCACTTCGGAGGCCCGATTCCCACCGCCGTGGAATTGGGCCCCGGGGGGGACTTCACCCCTCGAAGCGCAGCGTGGCTGCGTCACCAGAGGTGACACAACCATGTCAATCACATTGGGGGCGTGGCCCCGATCGTCGGAGGGAAAACTCAGGGCCACGCCTTCAACGTGAACGATGTCGCGCGTCACTTCCAGTGACGTGCTGGTGGCGTGCATGCGCAAAGTGCACCCCGCCGGTAAGAAAAATTGACTTGGCAACCCTAACTCTAGTTAAAACCACGATGTATTATCATCTGATAAATGTATACACCTTACTATTCATTGCAACAAAGGTGTTCCAAGTGAAATGTTATTATAAGCATTGTTAAACTTGTTGACCACTGCTGCTTGGGTTCTTAGTAGTAGTTTTCTTTTCTTTCTCCTGTCGATATTAGTTACCCCTTCCTTTGATGTCTGTGTAGTTTTTAGAATAAAAGCAATTAAAAATTTTATAAAAAGAAAGAAAAAGAAATTCCATCTTATCGCAGGGCTTTTTCTATGGCCGGATGCAATAGTTTCCCCACCAGCAGTCGTACAGGGCCGGTATAAAAAGGTGCCAATGACGCAGCGGATATGTCCTCGTGGTTCAGGAAAAGTAGAGACAATGGAACAAACATTATTGCATTGCGTGTACGATAAAGAAATTCGAGTAAAGTTTCTTCAGCCCCTATTAGGGAAGTTCCTTGGGTATCCAGATGCGGAGAGAAGCAAGAAATTTCTATCGGATCCCAATCCTCCTCTCTCTCTCATCTGTGCGCTAGGCTTCTGGCGATAGCTTATAGAATCCGAAAGGATCAAGTCAAGAACTGAAGCAGACCAAATAGGAAGCGCGTTGGATGGATTTCATTTTGTCTATAATGTAATTTATAGGTATTTATATGTATTCGAACCTAGCAGTTCGAAAGCAAGAAATTGCAAGTAGATAAATAGGTACCACCGGTGGGAAGGTAACAGCGTTCTGTGAGCCTTGGTGTTTAGTCAAGCTGGCCACATGACCACGGAAACGTCTTCAGACAGCGCTGGCTCTTCGGTTTGGAAACGGAGATGAGCACCGCAACCCTAGAGCCGGATTCGACTGGCTTTCGAGCAAGGGAAACCTTTATCTTTACTTTAAATAGGTACTGCTTCGGTGGGAAGGTAACAGCGTTCCGTGCGCCTCGGTGTTTCGTCATGCCGGCCACATGACCACGGAAATGTCTTCGGACAGCGCTGGCTCTTCGGCTTTGAAATGGAGATGAGCACCGCAACCCTAGAGTCGGACTCGACTGGCTTTCGAGCAAGGGAACCTTCACCTTTACCTTTATATGTATTCAATTTAAACAATTTTTTATTAAACTTTTTTTTAAAAAAAACATATATTACATAGCAGGCAGAACAAAGGACATTATGCAAAACATATGCTCACAAACTGTGATAAACAGAGAACACATTACCAAAGGTGTAACTTATCAATTATACTCGGTACTTCCTCTTGTTGAGATAAATGTTCTAAGACAGGAAACCAAACAGAAACAAAATCAGACTCGGGAGAGGGTGTATATCAGTGTTCCCTCCAAGCTGTGGAGTCTTGTGAGCAAAGAATTCTACTTTGTGAGCTACTGGCACTAAAGTTGTGAGTGAGCAACTCGGCTGCTGCATAAATGAGTTTGCTCTGGAGCCATCCCTTCCTGAGCTAAAAAATGTGCCAGCCGGAGGTGAAAAACCTGTGAGCCGGCTCACACTAACTCACCTTAGAGGGAACTCTGGACTGTATATGTATTTTTGCCATTGTGTACATATTCCATAATTTGGAATTATAGGTATTTATATGTAGTTCAACCAAAGGGGAGGGGCTGCGGTGGCTGAGGAGCTCCGGTGGCTCAAGTGGTTAAGACGCTGAACTGCAGGCTGTGGAAGGTCAGTAGTTCAGCAGTTCGAGACCCGGGTGCCGCATGACGGAGTGAGCTCCCATCTCTAGTTCCAGCTCCTGCCAACCTAGCAGTTCGAAAGCAAGAACTGCAACCCTAGAGTCGGACTCGACTGGCTTTCGAGCAAGGGAACCTTTACCTTTACCTTCACAACCAAAGGGCCTCAGATAAGACTGAAATGAGTGCAGATTGGTTTATAAATGTTTTATAAATGAACCCTAGAGATTTTAAACGGTTTTAACTGAATTGTGCTGGTTATGTACCGAATAAAAACTGGCTGACTGGCTCAGTGGCACCCTCTTCTTCTTCTTCTTCTTCTTCTTCTTCTTCTTCTTCTTCTTCTTCTTCTTCTTCTTCTTCTTCTTCTTCTTCTTCTTCTTCTTCCTCTTCCTCTTCCTCTTCCTCTTCCTCTTCCTCTTCCTCTTCCTCTTCCTCTTCCTCTTCCTCTTCCTCCTCCTCCTCCTCCTCTTCTTCTTCTTCTTCTTCCTCCTTGATGCGATCCAGGGCTCTCCCCCTGGTCCTCAAAAACACATTTAGGGGGTGAAATGAACCCCCTGTGGACGGGAAGAGGGAAGAAATGCCAGGCAGATCAGAGAATCCAGCAGCATTCCTCCCTCCCTCCCTCCCTCCCCCCCCCCAGCAAAATTAAGGGAGAGCGAGGAAATCCCAACCTTGGCTGTGAACTCTGGCAAAGGGGCTGATCCGGAGGCGGAGGGAAGGGTGAGGCAGGCAGCCAAGCCGACTCCTGTCAGAGAGCTTTCCCCCTCTCAGCGAGCCCTACGCAGCGGCCGGCTGCAGGGATCAGGAAGCCTTTCCACTTTCTCCCCGCTGGAGGGGCAAGGGGGCTCTGGAGGGGGGCTTTCTGGTCACCATGCTCCTGTGGGTGTGCCTCTGTTGCGGCCTGTCGGCCATTCACGGACAGCAGGACCCTGAATTCTTAGCCAGGGAACTGGAGGAGGCTGAGATTCTAGACTACAGCCTCATCGACAACGTAAGTTTTTTAAAATATCGCCCACCGTTGGGTTGCCAGGTCTCCTCCGGCCACCGGCAGGGGATGGGGGAGTAGGGTTGCCAGACCCAGGTTGGGAAACTCCTGGAGATTTGGGGGTGGAGCCCGGGGGGGCCAGGGAGGGACCTCAGCAGGGTACAATGCCAGGGAGCTCACCCTCCAAGGCACCCATTCCCCCCCCCCCGGGGGAACTCAGCTCTGTCGTCTGGAGAGGAGCTGTAATTCCAGGGGATCACCCAGGTCCAATGCTCCCTCTAAGCTGTGGAGTGCTGTGAGCAAAAATTCTGCTTTGTGAGCGACCGGCATTGAAGTCGTGAGCGAGCGATTGGGCTCCTGCATCAGTCAATTTGCTCTGGAGGCGTCCTTCCTGAGCCGAGACAAAAACGTGTGAGCTGGAGGCTCAAAAACTGTGAGCTAGCTCACACTAACTCAGCTTAGAGGGAACACTAATCCAATCTCCTCCTCCTCCTCCTCCTCCTCCTCCTCTCCTTCTTCTCTTTCTTCTTCTCTTTCTTCCCCTTCTCCTTCTATCCAATGCTCCCTCAAAACTGTGGAGTCTTCTGAGCCAAAATTCTACTTTGTGAGCTACCGGCATTAAAGTCGTGAGCGAGCGATTGGGCTGCTGCATAAAATTAGTTTGCTGGGGAGCCGTCCTTCCTGAGCCGAGACAAAAACGTGTGAGCCGGAGGCTCAAAAACTGTGAGCTACCTCACACTAACTCAGCTTAGAGGGAACACTAATCCAATCTCCTCCTCCTCCTCCTCTCCTCCTTCTCCTTCTTCTCTTTCTTCTCTTTCTTCTTCTTCTCCTTCTCCTTCTATCCAATGCTCCCTCAAAGCTGTGGAGTCTTGTGAGCCAGAATTCTACTTTGGGAGCTACCGGCATTAAAGTCGTGAGCGAGCAATTTGGCTGCTACATAAAATTAGTTTGCTCGGGAGTCGTCCTTCCTGAGCCGAGACAAAAACGTGTGAGCTGGAGGTTCAAAAACGGTGAGCTACCGCACACTAACTCAGCTCAGAGGGAACACTGCCCTGGTCCCGCCTGGAGGCTGGCATCCCTAAAAATGCCTTGATAATGAATCTGTGGCAGGCTTATGTAACCAGTTTGCAGCGAAGGGCCGCAGAACAAGCTTTTTAATTGCCGTCCAACGCACTGTGATTTAGCCTGTGAAGTTTTTCCTGGCATGATAGCCAAAGACAAGGAGTTGCTTATCGAACAGGCTGCTGTTAAAAGCAGAGGAGCAGAGTGGATTGATAAGGTGGCAATCTTCCCTAAACATGGAGAAAGGGAAGTTTGAGTCTGGTATCTCCCGAAAGACCAACAAGATTCCCCAGGGCGTAAGCGTTCAAGAGTCAAAGCTCCCTTCGTCAGAGACTGAGAAAAGATTTCTGACGTGGAGCTAATGCTTCTTTAAATATTGCTTTGCCAGTCTCAGAACTTTTTAAGAGTTACCAAGAAAGGAAGTTTCTCCAGGTAATCTTCTCCTGTTTCTGCAAAATTTCAACAGGGAAAAGATAAACCTAGAAAAATCCCTCTTCCCTTTGGCACTTTCCTGTAGACATTATGCAGCTGGAGTGGTTAGACTAGGAGCTGGGAGACCAAGGTATAAAATTCTGGGTTTTGGGCTGCTATTAAAGGGTCACGGTGCTTTATCTCTCAGGGGTCCAGATTGTACAAGTCTGCCCAAAGAACACCCCTGAATCGGACAGATGTCATTAAACACGAGTTCCTATAGGCAGGAGTTAGCAAAATGGAACCTCCATTTTCAGGTGCAGTGTATCTGGGAGTAAAAGGCCCTGGGAATAAATAGTTGTTCCTTTCTCTTCCTGGAGTATGTTCCAGAGGCAGTGGACGGGACGTGCCTTGGTATAACGTTTTCTGTCCTCAGCTTTCCGGGATGTGGAACGTCTGTCTGTTTCAAAGTTGCAACCCGGTTTCCCCTCTTGTGCGATTTTAGTGTAACATCCTTGGAACGTTTTGTCGCTTTTCCAACTTGCCTCCTTGTCGCCTCAAAGATTCCCTGCGCTTCTTTCGGGGTCTGGCATAAAGGAATGTAAAGGGCAGAGGTTACTGTGGACTTCTGGACTTCACGAACGCCGACGGAACGAAAAAAATCCAGGGAGTTCATGAGGAATTAGCCAGTTTGGTGTAGTGGTTAGGTGTGCGGGCTATAATCTGGGAGAACCGGATTTGATTCCCCACTCCTCCACTTGCACCTGCTGCTGGATGACCTTGGGCAAGCCGTAGTTCTGATAAGAGCTGTTCTTGAAAAAAGAGCAGTTTCTGTCAGAGCTCTCTGAGCCCCACCTGCCTCACAGGGTGTCTGTTATGGGGAGGGAAAGGGAAAGGAGTTTGTAAGCCGCTCTGAGATTCCTTTGGGTAGTGAAGGGCGGAGTATAAATCCAATCTCCTCTTCTTCTTCTTTTACCTCACAGGGTGTCTGTGGTGGGGAGGGGAAGGGAAAGGAGTTTGTAAGCCGCTCTGAGACTCCTTCGGGTAGTGAAGGGCGGGGTATAAATCCAATCTCTTCTTCTTCTTCTTTTACCTCACAGGGTGCCTGTTGTGGGGAGGGGAAGGGAAAGGAGTTTGTAAG